GGGCTTTTGGGGGCAGCCGCCCCCTTTTCCAAAGGGGAGTCCTCGTCCGAAGACCCTGAGCCCAACTCGCCATCAGATTTGCTTTCTTTTTCCACCTATTTGCCCTCTTCTGGTTCCCCAAGCTGTGTCCGCAGAAATTCACGTGCTTTAAAAACAGAGTCAATTTTTTTCTTTTTTATCGTTAATCTTGAAAATGACGCATTCTGGGGTTAACCACCTGTAACTGATGCTATTTGTTTGTAAGAAAAGGATTAATTCTTTATAGTTCTTACTCTTCTGTTTTATATCAAATGGAATATTTTAAAATCCTGATATTATTGCCCTCAGTTTTCAAGGGTGTCCCCGAATTTGCTTTCAAAATAGCATCTCTCACATGTCTCTTCGAGAATCTGACCACTATTTCCCCAGGCAGATTATTTTTCTTGATGTACGATGAATAGGACCTGTAGACGACATCCATCTTGCTGCAAAGGTATTCCTCTGTTAAATCTGTCATTGGGGCTATTGCTTCACTCAGCCATTGCTTCAGATTCTCTCCTTCAATTTCCAGGACCCCTTGAAACCATAGGACCAAATTTGCTTTATCCATTTGTAGCTGTAAAAGCTTTGACTCTTCTGTAGCTTGCTTCATTTCCAGCGTTTGCACCTTTTAAACTTTTTTAGTAGTGATGTCCATTTCCTTCACCTTCTCTCCCATTTGCTCTGTTGCTTTAAAGGACTGATTCAGTTGCATCTGCTGCGCTGCCACACTCTGCCCAATTACTGACAGTTGTTGTTTAATGCCAGTGATCTCGTCCAGCAGGGGGCGCAGGGAGTCAGCCAAGAGTTTTGAGAGCTCAGTGACCTCATCCATTCGAGGACTGGCCCCTAGTTTCGATTTCAACAGCTTCTCTTTCTCCGGTTTCTTCCCTGCCATCTTTTTGAATTTGTTTACTTTTCAAAAAAGTTGCTAAAGTCTCTGATATTCGCCCAAACGCTTTTCTGCGCTCTGGTAAGTTTCCTACAACAGTTTTAGTTGCTTATTTTTCCGCTCCCCACTTTCCTTCTGTGTTTCGTCGATGCGTTTGGAAGGGATCCCTCCCCTGCTTGCTTTCCCATTGCTCTTTAGGGGGGGGGCACCTTTTTTTTATATCTTCATGCTTGCTTCAACCTGACTCATAGTTCGTTGTTGGCCATTCGGCCTCGCTCATTTATTTCGCCCAATCTCCAATGCTTGTCCCGGTCAGCAGCACTCGTACCATGTGGTCACTCAGTGGCAGGACCTTCAGGGCGGAGGGGCGCCTCACTTCTCCGGCTTTTGGGCATCGAAGTGGTTGCCCCTCAAAAGCCCCCTGGCTGGGAGCCTTTTACCAAGGCTCCAGGGGGTCGCGACCCATCGGAGCCCCTCCCACACACTGGTGTGCAGTTTACATCCCCGGGATATCCGGGAGATGTGTCTGCCTGTGTGTCACCATAAACCGGAAGCTCGCTAGGACACTCGTCCTGATACAACAGCTGCAGTGCAGGCCTGAGTAGAGTTACACTCTTCTAAATCCATTGAAGTAAGTGTGCTTAGAAGGGTGTTAACTTTGCCTAGGGTGGAATTAATTATTAGATCAGTGATAATCACTCAGTGGCTTGGGAGCGACAGGTGGTTCTTCAGAGCACCATTCCCCAATATAGCATCCACCCCATGTTACAGAAAAGTGGGCAGGCCTTTGCTTTGTAGGATTTGTGGTTTGTACCTTTAAACAGCTGCTGCTGGAGGAACTGAAGGAGAGGTAAGCTACTCACTTTCCTGAGCTGTGGGTCTCATGTCAGGGATGGAAGGAAATTGCCCATCATCTCCAACAATGCCCCCCCCCTTTTCACAGCCTCTGTGCTCTCATCCTAGCACGAAGGCAGATACAGAGAAAACAGAGTAAAACCACCATCACCTAGGGATGCCATATGCTT